AGATTGTAGAAAATAAGAACCTGTTCCAGATTTTAGGCTAAAGAGGCTCTCGTATAGAACTGTTATAGAGGGGGGCCTTACTGGTAAATTTTCGCCCAACAGGTTCTTAAAAACCAGGTTCTTAGTCGCGGGTTTTTACTGTAACTCAAGCTGAAACGCTTGCTACGCATCTTACCGGTGTGCTCTGTTTGTAATCTTTTGACCTGCGCTTTAACCCGTTAGAAACCAGTGACTTTTATTATTGTCAACGGGAGTGGACGATTATAAGCAAAGGCTACTATTCTAGCTACAAGTCAAACTGTGGAATCGTACCTTTGCCGCTTCGTCCTTCTCAAAGTGTGCCTTGAGCAAGAGAGAACGCAAATCATTAACTCCATCATGGATCATATCAGCAACTGCTTCGTCAAAACTGTCACTTGGAGACAAACCTGACAAGTTTATCAGAAATGGTCATAAATCAGGGTTTGGAAACGCGAGCATCAAGTATAGTGGAAGCCCCCCTCTACGGTCACCCGCTTAATGGATAGCACTAGAAGTTACCCTGCAAATGGCCCTCTGTAAAGAAAGATTGTTGAGATGCAGAAATTTTGACACCATGGTAACGTGACGTCACACTTCTCCCATCTATACGGACATACGTATATAACGAACTGTTTCGTTTGCTCTAACGAAAAACTCATACATTTTATTTCTCCAAAATTAAATCGCTTAATACGGACACCGGTCAATATAATAAGGACAACGGATACCTTTCTGTACCCTGAATCACAAACTCTCGTATATCAAACCCCGCTTTGCGGACACTGGGTACCTGCCTTGTGCACTGTATATTTTCATTGTGTGCTTATTGTAAGTAGTCCGACATGTTTGACTTTGGTCATTCGGTTTTTCGTCCGGTGTTTGACCCTAATCAAATACTAGAGTTTTGGCTTCCTATTAAACAAGTTTCACTTCCTTGGCTTTTTGCTTCAACCACTGCTCCTCTCAAATAGGGTAGTTGCGCGTTTGAGGAGAAGGCCATGTCCCTGTTGGTAATTAACCCATCTTAAAATATGTCGTTTGTTGCCATTTCATCTATCTTATGCACTGTTTTAAGGCCATGTCGCTTGTTAGAATTTTACCCTAACAGGGACTAACAGCATATCAGGGATGTGTCAAGAGAACAAACCAAAAAATTGCATAGTATATACATCAAGCTGTTTCTTCCCTCTTATTTAGAGATAGCTCCGCTACTGACATTAGTTTTTTAATACCTGATTTCTTGCAAATGTATTTCATAATTGCACCAGATTGTGCCAGGATCTTTCCTTCAGGAGTCACGAGAAATGGCATCTGACCAAGTGGTGGTCTGCCAGCTGAAAACAACAACAATTAACAATCAATCAATCAATCAGTCAGTCAATCATACAGTCAATCAATCAATCAATCAATCAATCAGAGACCTTATTTAACTTCGAATTAGATAAAAGCAAAATTGCTAATATCTCCACAGGCATTCCAAGCTTGTTACGAGGCGGGGGAACGCAATAGAACCAAAAAGTGGGCTAAATCAATGAATTCACACTGAAACACTCAGAAATACATCCAATTAAACCTTCTATATTTGGTTTATTGGGAAGTTTCCCCGGTGGTGTGGTCTACCTTTCACGCATCACGCATCATTCATATCATAAGCAATGAGTGGGTTACATTGAGTAGCAGCTGCCACTGGTGCCCTTGTATGCTGACGACAAGTCCCTCCCATTTTTTTAAGGGAAAAGCCCTCCGGAAGGCGAGAAAACAGCTATCTTCAAAGATTTAATCTACTATAACATTATGGGTGACAAATTACTCCATATTATTGGAGCAACATTTCAACATTTAGAATTTTACATGTAAAAATGGCAAAATTGTTATGGCAACGTTCTGTATTATTTCAGTGCCAGATCAACTTGATTCCCAGCTGAGGGTTCTTTCTTAGGACAGCATGCACAACAGAGAGACACCCTGGTTGGGTTTGGTCACATGCCTCATGCAGATTCTGAGAGATATAAACAAATAAAAGATTTGGGGAGGGGCGAGAATTGGGAGTTTTGTCTCTACTGAGCATTGGGGATTCCAATCATGGATGAGTTGGAGAAAACGGTGAGAATGAGGTTGTGCCAGGATCAAAAAACCGCATCGGGGTTTAAAAACTTAAAAATGAAGATGCCATGGCATTAAAAGATGCTGCAGAAAACCTAAACACATGACAGTACACAACCTTTCACAGAAAAAAAAGGATTCTATTTTTTATTTCAGTTGAACTTGTCCACAGTGGCGGGGGGGGTCACTGTTAGTGGAGGTTTGACTTTCGCTGTTTTGTCAAAAAATTAAGGGAATTGTGAACTAAAGCAAAATTTTATTCTCTAGACTTCACAGTGCATGGAGTTCTTAATTGATACAATAAGCAACTCAAAAACCCACCCTGACGGTGAATTGTCACTGTCACCCATGATATCAATATGCCAAATTAAAATTCACACTCATTTACAGGCCAAAAAGCAGTCCAAAAAGGCACCCTGTACAGGATGCTAAATAGTGAAATTGTATACCTGACCTGTTCAAGACCCAACACTCTGAAAACCATACCCTGTTAAGGGGGGGATCCAGGATTTTTTTTAGGAGGGGGTGCACTCGTCTCTTGCTCTACTTCAACACCAATAAACCACATAGGTTTTTTTTTTTTTTTTT